GACCCCTTTAAAAAAAATAAAAAAATAAAAAAAATCGCAAGGGGGCATTACTGATGTATTTTATGTCACAGAATAAAACACGAAAATATCTTGAGCTTGTGTTAACCACCGACCTTATTTCAGGCATTTAACAAAACAAAATAAAAAAATTAAATAAATAAACCATATTGATTTCAAGACGATGGAATCAGACATGCTAAAATGCAAACTTATTTCTGGGTTCTGGCCTACAAAAATACATAATCCCTGCAGCACTCTGTAAGACCAATGACATGCATTATGAAAATAAATAGTGCCAATTTTCAACATTCCTGATTTACTGTGAAAGATCCATCACATGCATGTTATTAAAAAAAATAATAAAAAAAATATTCATAATCTTTCATCAAAATGTAATCATTTGACTGACACTTGGTTTCCAATGTGTATTTGTGAAGAGCACTCAAGCCTCATGGCAGGACATTCAGGTGAACCTCAGGAAGGTTCTTCAATGCTGGGAACGTATCAGTCAACTGTTCTGTCAATACGAACTAAAAAGGCTAGAATTCCTTCCACCCATGAGCGTACACAGCATTCAAAATAGCAGCAGAGAGAAAAACACTTCAAAGCAGCAAGCAGCCACTGTTCAAAGTTAGGCCGGTTTCACACCGCACACGTAAGCAGGGCGTAAGCAAAGCGTATTTTTTCCGGCACCCATGTTAACAGATCAGAGCATTCACATCACGCGCAGAGGCGGCGCGGCAGTGCGTAGCAGGAGCAGAGCAGAAGCGGCAGTGCCGCGATCGTTTCGGCGCCGAGTCTATTTTCGCTGCGCCGCTTATGCTGGATTAAAGCTACAGTGCATTGTTCTTGATCAAAATTTTCATGATTAACATGAAAAATAACAATTTCACCATACAATCATGTGAGGTGTTTCGTGTTTCACAATCACGGGGTAAAAGGCACACAGTATTGATAAATGGATGTGCGGGTCTAGTCGACTAAGCGGTACAGCTCCTACTAGTCGACACTGAAAACAATAGTCGATTACACGACAGAAAAAGAAAAACATACAGTCAAATTAGTCGTCGAGCACATCCCTAATAAATACTTTAGCTAAAATAATGTTTAAAAAAAAAAAAATGTCTAAGTTAATGTTTGTTGAAAACAATCACTTTAGCAAAGTTTGTACTAGGTTATTTTCTGCTTATTTTGATAAATAATGTTCAATAAATATACTGTCATTAAAATGTTAATATAAAAATATATTTTAAAATACAGAAACAAAATAAAAAGTAAAGATTCTGAAAGCATTGAAGGAGATCCCATAATAATTTTATATAGATTTACAATAGTAACAACAAATTATATCTTATTATATGATATAATTAATATCATGTTTTTAAATATGATGGTTTCATTATAAACATGGTGATTATCTCTAAGGTGGACGACACCCAACATAATATATGATATTTACCATCTGAATCTAACCATGTCATGTCAACAATTGGAAAAGTCAGCCATCTATTAATTATTGTGATAATTATTGTGCCTTTCGCCCCAACAGCAGGGGCGCTTTTTACCCCAATAGCATACTTTTACATATTCTTCTCGTTATTTAAAAACTGTTGCTTTAATCATCTTCAACCAAACAGGGAATCATTAAGAAGACCTTTGTCTCAAAATATATTCAATAATTTTTAGCGATTCTCATTTGTTACTTAAATCTACAACATTTTAAAAAAAAAACATCAAATATTAGAGTTAGCACAGAATCAACTACACGAAAACACATCACTGCCAGGAGTTATTGCCCAAACTTCAAAGGCCTGTTTGAATTATTAAAACTAGAGGCATTTATCAACTTTAAGATTATTTTTATCATGTAAACTATATGTACAGCATGTTATATGCACGTGACAGAGGGGAACACGGCCACATCACAGCATGCTGCCCATATCAAAGCACATAACAGACAGTTGTCGGAGAACACCTGAAAAGCGTCAACGAATGAACGATACTCGTCTGTATTTGCAGTATACAAGCCACGGTTCAGCTGCGAGCGACAAACGCTAAAGTCTAAAGCTACATGCCTTTCTAAATCCAACTGCCCACACAGTCGCACATGCTTTTTTGTGTTCATCTCCAAATGAAAGACGTCACCACACAATAGATCTCAATCGCTGTCACCGCTTGCAAAAACAAAGCGTTTTCCATTTCGGCACCATGATTCCTGCCATTAAAGGGAAGCATTTATATTTTGGCAAAGCAGCAGCAACTTCACCACAAGTCACTCAACAGGATTTTCATTGCATCAATGATATTTTCGAAGATATGTCGTAAGATCTAAATAAGACTTGGAAGCGGACCGCAGGGAATGTATTTGTTTTCAAACATGAGATGAACTGTACACTGTTGTTAGGGACACAGTGTTTGATATGATTATGTGTGATTAAGCATGGCGATGAATGCATGTTATTGTTTAGAGATTACTCAAATTACTCAAAGAAACATCTGTGGTACGTATAGAGCGAGCAAACTAGATAAACGCTTAGTCAGATTTTCATCGGGCCCTAAAATATCATCCCCTTGACTTGCCAGTTAAAAATAAACAAAGCCGAAGTTGAACTGTTTGAGAAGGGAGCGAGGGAATGCGAGGGGCTCTTGGAGCCTGACGTTGATCAAGAGAGAAGAATAGAAGTCAGTCGTTTTTCATCTGTAAGAATTCACAATAGTGATAGGCTTCATTTGTCAAGTGACAATCGGTTAAAAGCCACTTTAAACATGATACTCTTACAACTTAATGCATACATGGTCACGTAGACTAGCTAGATATAAACATCTTTTACAGCTGTGGCTGCCTGCCAAAGGAAGAAAAACAATCAGGAACAGCATTTTTACATTTTCTGAAGAAAATCTGAGTGCTGCTTGTCCGAACAAAAATTGCCGCCAGAGGTTTTTATGCAGTTGCTAAGGTGTTCTTAGTGGTTTATATGAATTGCTATGAGGTCGCTAAGGTATTCTGGGTGGTCTCTGTGATATTCGGTTTCTAGATATGGCTTGAGTTCCTCCTTTATCGTAAGTTTTTAAAAGTTTTGAAACTTTATCGAGTTTTTTGGGGTTTTGCCTTTTTTATTATCAGGCAAAAACATACTAGTGCGACTGCTCTTTCTACAAAAAGCCACACGATTTAGGAGGTATCATAAACCACATACAGAGATTCCAGAAAAAAAAATCTGGAAAAATTCCAGGATTAATCATGACAATGCACCTAGGTCCTGATACAAGGATCAAATCTTCCAGCATTCCAGCTTGGATTCACACAAAAGGCTCTCGAGCAATTTCACTCCAATGTTCCAGAAACAAAAAAGCACAGTGTAAATGTAGCTTTTTAATTCTGTAGCGAACAGTGACTTAAGAAAAACTTTTTGATACATCATGTAAATGCAGAAACATTCCTCATACATTATGTAAAAGTAAATAGCCTTATCCTAAAAGCGAGAGAAAGTAGTTCGACACACACGTGTTTCTGCTGAAGAATGCAAATTATGTAAACGTATAAGAAGTAATGGACTAAGGTGTGGAGAAAAAGCTTTCTGTAAGAGACGCGTACAGTATATATATGTATATTATATATATATATGTGGGTTAAGAATATGCCACTGGGCATGTAAATGTGTCACTAACAAATTTTTGGAGTAAATGTAAACGTAGACAGTATGGGACGAGTTACATACCAAAAATTATTACGACCAATACTAAGAGTCATGCTTATCTTTTTTTATTAGCAAGTAGCTATGTCAATATTGCTGCATTATCTTGGATGTCTAAACATTGCCCATTTACAACCCTTTTTACAACCAAGAACCTACCCATTAGATTCCAGTATAGCATGAACGTTTAATTTTCTTCTTTCTGATACGAAAAAGCTATTTTGTTACCTAATACTGTGGTTTTCATCAGTCATCAACCTCTGAACGCTGTTTCTAACATTATGGCAGACACATTGGAGCTTTCTTGACCCCTCATTTGGTGAAGGAAATTCTTCCTTCCAAGAGATCAAAGCCAATGTATCAGAAGCCAGAGGGCAGATCAATTATCTGAGCACTTACCACTGTCCAGCTTGTTACGATCAGATTTTCAGACAAAACTGGCTCTTTTCAGGGGCCAGAGGGGAGGGGGGGTAATCAAATAGCTCTCTATTTTTTTTCCTCTGCCGAGTCTCTTGCACATTGACAAATGTCACTCTGTAAAAAAATCCAGCACTGGTCCCCTGAAAGCCCAGCAGCTGTGCTGGCCGGGAACTCCTGAGGCACATTGCCACCAGATTCCCACTTGACAATAGGGGAAAACAAGCAGGTGTGCAGCTGAGGAAGACAAGTATATTCGAAAAGAGAAATTATGGGGGAAGCCACATACACAGACCAAACGCCTTGACCACGATTACATGACAGATGACTGGAAAAGAAAGAAAAAACACATCCTTAAGAAGCCAAGTAAGCTGACTTCAGAGGAGAACAAAGTGCTTTTGCTTGCTCTTTGTGTGATAAGAAATGGGATGGAGGCAGAGTCATTAAAACTGTGTGAGATAAGAGAGAGCTCATTCAGAAAGGTCCGACCCTTCTGATTAAGAGGCTAATTCACTAGATGTCAGTCAAACCTGGAAGGAGAATGTTTTACATCTCGCTAAAAATGAGACAAAGTCCTTGAACAATAAAAGTCTTTTCTTCAGTAACTCTTTCTTATCAAAATCCTTTAACCACAAAAATTCCAATGCAATACTTTTTGTTAGATGGTGATATTAACATTACTCTAAATTCATAAATTCTAAAAATTCAGCACAGGAGCAGGTAGTGCTGAACTGGAAATGGACCTATGAAAAAAACTGCCACCATTCTGCTTCAAAATTAACTGAATAAGGAGACCTTCAAAACAGGAAAAAAATAATAAAAAATACCAACAGATTTTAATGAAAGAAACAAGACAGTATAGTCACATACTACTGCACTCGGTCTTACCAGTTTCTCTTTGAAGACCATCTGTCTCAGCCATTTAAAGTCAAGAGGTTTGAAAGCAGAGAAGACAAAGAGGGAATCTTTCTCATAGCGCTCGGGCTTCTGGATTGCCCCTTCTGGGTAGGTTATCCTCAGGGTGGTCTTAGTACCTACATCTCTGGTGTAACCACTCACTGGGGCCTCGTTGAGTCTAAAGAATAAATATACTGAAAATCAGTGCAAATCAGCAGCATAAAATCCTTTCGTTTGTTCAGTTTATTGATTTGGTCATTAAAAAGGCAGAGCAAGGTGACTGTGTGGACTGGAGACTCACCTTATCACAACGTCATATTCATCAATGTGGGATCCTAAAGACTTGTTGCTAAGGATACCACCATTGCCTACTATTATACATCTTTTACAACTCAAACTGCAAAGAGAACATATGAGAAGACAGGTGGCATTACTCAAAAATGCACAGCCATATTCTTTACAGAAAGAGTATTTACAGCCATATTCAGCATATAAAAAAATGACAAGCTTAACTTGATATTGCCTATATTGCACAGTCAGGTCAGGTAGAAAATATATAAAATAATAAAAACATACACTATATACATTCGTTACACAAACCATGACAATCAGAGTCAAATGGAACATTTAATGCTTGATACAAATTATACAAACATATACATACACTACTGCTCCAACGTTTGGGGTCAGTAAGATATTTATTTTAGTTATTTTTATTTTTTGAATGAAATACTTTTTTTTTTTTCAGCAAGGATGCATTAAACTGATCAAAAGGGACAGTAAAGACTTTGGCAAGAATTGTTTAAAATTTCATTCTGATTGGTCACATCATCTCAGCTGAAATCTGAAGTGATCTAAAGCAAATGCAAAAAGAATTAAATAAATGCAAAAAGAAATTGGATTACCAACATTGTTAGATTTCTTTTTGAATAAATGCTGTTCTTGTGAACTTTCTATTCATTAAAGAATCCTGAAAAACATGTCACTGTTTCCACAAAATTATTAAGTAGCAAAACTGTTCACAACATTTTAAATAAGAAATGTTTCTTGAGATACAAAAAAAGCATATTAGAATGATTTCTGAAGGATCATGTGACACTGAAGACTAAAAAAAAAAATCAGTTATTTTATATTGTATTAATATTTCACAATATTACTGTTGTTACAGTATTTCTGATCAAATAAATGTAGCCTTGATGAGCATAAGACACTTAAAAAAAATAAAAAATAATAATCATAATCCCAAACTTTTGAGCAATAGTGTATCTAAAAATGAGATTTGACTGTGGGCTTCTCTAAGATAAAAACTGAACAGAACTTCAGGCTTTATGGCGTCACAGCTGGTTAGGACATGGACCTTTGGGCAAATTAATTTGTAGTGATGCATTTCAAAAGTCTTACCCATCTAAATCTGGACCCAGTCCATAATTCTTTGTGGCAGTTAATATAACATCTATGATTCTTTCTGTATTGAGAGATAACAAAAAAAAGAACAAAGAGATGAAACAAATACACTTCTAGATGGTAATGGCTTTAATCTGATTCAAATGATTTTCTTTCATTATCTGCACTCCTGGTGGTCTGATGGAAAAGCATGACTGTGTTATTCACTCCTGGAAGTTGTATTAGCAACTGAAAATAAGTTACTGACACTTTGAAAAAAAAAAAAAAAAAAAAACAGTCTGTAAAAGGGGAATGCCATTTGCAAACAAGTAAAATTCCTTTGCCAAAGACTTCAATTCAGGCTTTCCAACGCTCTCAGTCTATTTACAGAGCTGTTTGGTCATAGCGATCATTCCCCCAATACCCTTGAAGGCATTCATGGCTGCTACACATTATGTCACCTGATTATCAGCGAAGACACCGGATTTCCTAGTAAGGGTGCATAAGCATGACCCATTGAGTTGCCTAAAAGTATCAGTATGCATACTATAAAAGTCCAAAGACAGGAAAACAGTTTGGAAAAGAGCTAATTCAATGAGGACAATGTATACAGCCTTGCCCATTTAATCATCATACCTTTTTGACCCTAACTATATTCCATTGAACAAAAATCAAGAAGGCATAACACAAAGGGAAACACTTTGGGAGGTCTGCTAGGCACTTTGCAGTACGTGTGAGGCGCCAAATCTACATCTGTACATAATTCTTTCTTTTTTTCCTCGTCCGGTGGTTTGAAAGCATCTACCCTAAAGACTATCATTACTGTTTCTGACAACAAAGAGCAAACATGTGAGATTATCTTTCTTATTGGCATAGACGCTATGTTATTGAGAGGCAAACATAATAGGACGTACCAATGTAGTCCTGTGGTTTGAAGCAAATGGTTGTGATTTCAACAATACAGCATATGAAACCTTCTGTAAATTTATTTGGCCTCCATAACAGTTGGTGTAGTGCAAAAGATAATGTAATAGCTTGAAATCTATATTGACCCTAAACTGTAAGCTTAATGATTAAAACGCATCAGGGAGTAGCCGTCATTGTTTGGACAAAGCGCTGACGGCTTACATCAAGCATCACCAGAGACTGCATAAACAGTGGCGGGACCACACTGGAATAAGAAACGAGAAAAAAAAAAGAATAATAAAATTTTAGGAAAACTTGAAATCGCATCATATGACCCCTTTAAGATCAATGGCATAAACATTTCAGCCAAGTATCACTCTTGGCAGTTTAAACAAATGAGACCCTCATCTTTAACATACACTGTTTTGGCAAGAGGAAAATCACATTCTGAAATAAAGTAGAAATGGTCAGGTATGATGCAAATACTTTTAGGAGTTATATCACAAAACCATCTGGAGCATGACTTCTGAGATTGCGAGTCACATAATGACTTTTTTTTTTTATGTAATGTTTGTCAAAAGGCTTTTTTTTGTTTAAAAACTGATTAAACATGCTCATAAACTATTTTAACAATTCATCATGAGTATTAGAGGAACTTCACCAAAGTAGCTGAGAGTGACACTTCATCCTGAGTCACTGGAGACATTTTAAGAGGCTACTTAATACTGTAAGGCACTTAAAAGGCCAAACTTACAGTCAAAACAGCCCTAATGGTTTATTCTCCTTTGAGGTATTTGGTTCATCCATCTGTAAAGGATGTTGGGATTACCCTACAGTTGACACAACCATCTGCAATGCTTTGACTGAATGTTTTCCACTGAGGGCGACGTAATCAAGAGCAGAAATCACAAAGTCGTAGGTGGCCACAGGGATAGCTTATATTGGAATTGGTAGTGCAGAAATAAGACATCTATTTTTATGCCTTTCTGGCCCACAACTTGAGAACCTTTGACAAGCTCTATTCAAGAACCACACGCATCAACCATTCCAAATGAATAAAGTTAAAAGTGAAGTCACGCTAGGCTCACGATCCATGCAGCAAACAAAAACCAGGTGTAATGTAACCATGGGACCTGCTCTTTTGAAAGTCTTCATGTGTGTGGACACGGCAGCCCTTAACTGAACACAAAGGTTACATTCAAGGTACCCTTAATGTGCCCGCTGCCCTCAAGTGCTGGAACATTTGACAATGTGCTGAAATCTAAGATGTAATCATCTTTTCAGATGGAGGGAAAAAAGTAGACAATGGTGGATTACATTAACAACCAATTGGTTTCAAGAAACCGTTGCCTTATCTACAGGTCTTTTCCAAAGGTCTCATTCTCTTTTATACATTCACAAAGCTCAGTAGAATGAAGTTCTTGTTCTCTGTTGAATGGAATAAAATCCCCACATCACTAAAGTACATAAATGTCTGCCATACTGTGCAATGCATCTGGCCACGTACACATTACAGAGGTTTGCTCTCACACTACTGCAATATCAAAGTCACTCCTGACCCTGTGGTTCAATGGTTAAACATAGTAAGAGTTTGGCATCCTACAGCTATAAAGAAACATGGACGGCAACAGTTTAAAGCATTTGGAATTTATCATGAGAATAATTTTTGGGACCAGAGTATTACTGTCTATCAAAACCAGGGCTCTGAACTGGTTCAAAGAACAAAAAATAAAAATAAATAGGAACAAACGAAATTAACAGGAGCTTAAAAAATGGAAACTAAATCATGTTTAATCATTTTATCGTCCCCTCTGATATTTTCATTTGGCAGTCAACCAATGGTAAATTGAAATAGCGCAGTCTATGCAAATGTTACGCTGACGCATCCAGCGTGACTAAATTGCCCACACACTATAACACACACACATACATATATA